CTCTTCCCTCTCAGCAATGATTCCCACCACCCTTTTAACCCCTAATCCCTCATTCTCCTGGATAAGGAGCCATGAGGAGTGTTAAATATGTACAGAGAGAGAAAGAAATTGAACCAGCACAAGAATTGAACCCCAGCAACTGGGAAGCTTTTTGGAAGGTCATGTGAGCTTGTGTGTGGGTCAAAGCACAGTATGGGAAACGCTTCAAATATTTGCTTAAAAAAATACAGTTTAAATGAAGTACCAATTCTGCGTGTCTGCTGTTGAAATTTTACTTTAAAGGAAAGAGCACTCGCAAAGGACTCCAAATTGAGCTCAGCTCTTCAGCAAATGTTTCTCCCTTGGTTTGTCACCAGGTCAGACAAGAAATTACCCCTCTGAGAACCACTTTGATTCAGAGAAATCTCAAATGGACTCTGCGGGTGCCCTCGGTGAACTTTCTGGCTGGGCTGTACTCCCCACAGGGCTCAGCTCTTCCTCCAGAGCGGCTTTCGGACCGGCACCCTGTTCTTCTGCTTCTCTCTCCCAGCCTCTCCCTTCTTGCAAAGTCAATGTTGCTCGTTCTTTCAGGTCCTTCCTTGGAGTTATTTCCAATTCTTCAGAGAATATTTTGCAGACTGACCCAGTCTCTTCGGCATTCTTTTGACATTGCCCCTCTTCTTCAGGAAGCTTTTCTTTGGCTTTTTCCCATTGCACAAGGACTTTCTCCTTAAAGTTCCCTTGCTTTCCAATACACTCTTCCTCAGATTTCTCCAGGGCTTTCTGAGCCCTCTCCTGTTCCTCCAGGGCTTTCTTCTGAGCTTTCTCTTGCTCGCAGAGGAGCTCTTTCTGAGCCCTCTCGAGTTCTTCTAGGGCCTTTTTTTTTGCTTTCTCCCGTTCTTCCAAGATTCTATTAGCTTTGTTTTGCTGATTCTTAGCCTTCTCCTGCTCCTCTAAGACTTGTTGCTGTGTCTTTGCAAGTTCTTTCAGGATTTCCCGTGCTCTCTCTTGTTCTCTGACAGCCCTTATTTGAGCTCTCACCTGCTCCTCCACGGCTTTTCTTTGCAATAGCTGCAGTTCCTCTATAGCTTTCTGAGCTCTCTTCTGTTCTAATGTGGCCCTCAGAACTCTCACTTGCTCTTGAAGGACTTTTCTAGAAGCTTTCTCCAGTTCCTGCAGAGAATTTTTCTGAGCCATCTCCAATTCTTCCAGGGCCTTTTTCTGAGCTCTTGCTAGCTTCTCTAGGGCTTTTCCTCCCAGAGGTTTCTTCTGAGCTCTCTCACATTCTTCCTTGGCTTTCTTCCGGTTTTTTATTAGTCCCACCAAAGCATGCTGTTGAGCTATCTTCAGCTCCTGAAGAGTCTTCAACTGGTTTTGCTCTTCTTCTTCCAAAAACTTATTCTGTGCATCCTCCTGTTGGTCTAGAACTTTCCTTGGTGTTTTCTCCTCTTCCTTGAGCCCCATCAGTTGAGTTTTAAACTGTTGTAACAACTCCATCTGCAAAGCAATAAACTGTTGCTCAAGTTCCAGGTACCACCCTGCCTCCTGCAATGGTTTTTGTTCCAGATGCTCTTGTTGCTCTGTCTCCTCCTGTGGTGTGTTCTGTGCAGCTAAAATCATCTGCTCAGCTTGTATCTGTTCTTTCTTCATCGCCTCTTCCCAAGATTCATCCTTCTCCTGAGAGCTGTCTTGTTCCTCCAGGGCTTCTTTCTTAATTCTTTCCTTATATTTGGGGGCTCTGTTAGTTCTTAATCCTGCTTCCTTTGGTTCCTTCTTCATCCTCTCTACTACACCCGCAACATCAGTTTCCCTTTGCTTTCTTTCCTGGATTCTTCTCCGAACTTCTGTTAGCATAGAACCGGTGTCTTCATTCCCACCCAGCTGGCAGGCCAGTTCAAGGTCTCTGGCAGCCTTGTGCCAGTGACCCAGGAGCTGGAATGCCTTCCCTCGCCAGTGGTAGGGCTGTGGAGAGTCAGGATTGATTTTGATTGCTTTGTCACAGTCCCTTATGGCAGCTATTGGTTTCCGCAACCTCAGGTAGACACTGGCTCGGCTGACATACAGGACTGCAAGTTCTGGGCAGAACCTGATGGCATCAGTGAACAACTCAACAGCTTTGTGAAGTTCACCTGCTCTCAGTGCATGAAAGGCTTCCCTTTCCTTTTCAATGGCCTGTTTCATCATCTTGTTAGCTGTCTTCAAGTTGTCATCTCCCATTTTCTGAAGATCTTCATCCTTCTCAGTCAATCTGTCATTGTCAGAATTGAGTTCACTGTCCTTGCTCTTTGGCTCCACACTGGGCATTTCCTCTCCTTCAGTTCTACATGGAACTTCCATGTAAAACTTGTTCTCTTCTACTGGATATTGCTTTTGCTCTTCAGATTCCTTAGAACAGTCACTATCAGGTTCCTGTGAGGTCCAAAGGTAAACCTGTTCATGCTGCTGGGCATTCTGAGGCTGCACTTTTTCCTTTTCTTGAGAAGCCAGAAGCTGATCCCTCTCTTCTTCTGACATGGATTCCCCCACCCTTGGCAATGCATCCAGTGGTTGTTCTGTGTTTTGTTTCTCCTCATACATTTTTTGGTGCCTGGCGGTTGTCTGGACTCCTCTGTGAACCTCCTTCAGCATGTCATTGGTATCTTCACCATAATCCATCTGGCAGGCCAGTGCAAAGTCCTTGTCAAACTGCTGCCAGTGACCCAGGAGATGAAACGCTTTCCCTCTCTGCTCGTATGGCTGTGCAGAATTCGGGTCCATCTTTATGGCTTTGTCGCAGCCTCTGATGGCAGCACGTGGCTTTTGCAACTGCACAAAGACATTGGCTCGGTTGGCACACAAAGCACTAAGCCGTGGGTTCGGTGTGATAACAAGCTGAGAAGCTTTCTGAAATTCACCTCTTCCCACCCCAGGAAAAGCTGCCTTTTTCTTTTCAGCAGCCTCCTTCACCATATTGCTGGTTACCTCCAAATTCTCATCTCCTGCCTCTGGAGGCTTATCCTCTCCTGACTCATTTGCCCCTTTGCTATCTTGTCTCCAACTCACTTTCATCCCTCCCCAGCTCTTCACTGGCCTCCTCCTCCCTCTGAAACTTTGCCTGAGCCTCAGAATCTCATTAACAAGCCAAGGAAATGTTATGGGGCAGCCTCTTTTAAAAGCCCCAAAAGCTGGAGGGCTTTTCCTTGGCATTTCTAGGCCTGTGCTGAACTGGGATTGAGTTTAATAGCTTTGTCACAGTCACTAATGGCCATAGTTTGCTCTTGCAGCTGTAAAAAGACACTGGTTCTGTTGATGTGTGAGCTAGGAAGGTATGGATTCAGCTTGATGACACTGGTCAGCTTATCAACTGCTTTCTGATTTTCATCTTTAGCTAGAAAATCAAAGGCCTGTCTTGTTTTTTTCAATAATCTGCTTCATCACCTACTCTGATAGCCCTAAATTTTGTTCTGTTTTTTTTTTTTTTTTTAATGTGGACTATCTGCTTGTGGATCAGTTGTCTTCTCTTTACCGTTTTCCAAAACATCTTCTAGAAACTTTCCTACTACTGTAACTAGTTCCTTGGCATCTGTGCTGCACTCTTGGTACTTCCTATGGATTTGCAGAGAAAGCAGTGATCCTCAGAATTTTGAAAAGATGGGTCTAATTTTGCCAGTATTTTCCTTGAAGTCATGGTGCTTAGATCCCAGAAGGATGATATTACCCAGAATTTGTTGTCACTGAAAGTAGAGGAAGAAAGATAAGATGAAAACAAGCTTACCCTCTTCTTCCTTCCATTGTCTTGTGCTGGACCTAATTAAGTGGTTACGGCCAGCTGCACAGTCCCAGTGACTTCAAGAACTAGAATAGAATTTGTCACTTCATCTATTGTGTCATCACTGGAGTCCTGAGATGGCTTCTTAAAGCTGTATCACACAGGAAGAGGGGTCCCTGTAACATTTATTCTTCAGTTTATTGCACACCTTATGCATCAGAGGTCTGTGTGTGCAGAAGTGTGTGTGCACGCCTGTTACACAGAGCAGACACAGGACTGGAGAGTCTGCGTATTTGGTTTACATTTAAATAAAAACGTATTTTATAAGCCACAACCAAGATGAAGGCAATAACAGTTGGATAAGAATTTTGTGTTTAGACTTGCTTTGGTCAAATATTTTTCCTTACAAATGAAAAATGAAAACTAAACACTTTGTCCTGACAATAGCACATGCCTACGAGTATGAAGACAAAAAAACCAACAAACTGTGCAGGCCAGTTGCATGGGGTATCCTTTGCTAAGATGTTTTCCAAAATTTTGTAAAACTCACTTTTTCTAAAATTTACACATTTGCTTCTCAGGAACATCTTTACAGCTGGAGGGTCAATTTAGCTGCATCCAGAAGAGCCAAGAAATCTTCTTGACACACAGGAAAATCTTTGACTTATAGAAAAGACTCTCAAGCTGAGTCCTTGAACATCCTTCCTTAACTTTCATACTAATTTGGTGCTGATGAGCCTCCTCTTCAGTTGGAGCCCCTGGTTGATATTTGTTCTTTGCGTGGATTTGGCTCTAAGGCATCCAATGGGTTCCATTAGGCTGGGCTGGCACTGTATAGTGCTAAAGGCAGGCAGCTACTCTGCTCTCATGTGGTTCACAAAGTCTTTAATACTCCTTTTTAGATAAAAAGTTTGTTGTTCATTTTGTTTTTTGTTTTTTTTTCTCCACTGTTCCTAAAAACCACCTGTTTCCTCCCATCGATTGCAGTACCTTACTACCTTGTCCATGCTATGAACACACAGGTCTCAGCCATTGTTTCTTTCCTTTCACCTTTGCTTCAGATCTTCTTGGTGTGCTTCATCCCTCTGCTGAAACACCAAGTTCTGGAATCCTATTTCTTAACCCACGTTTTCCTTCACACACCACTGTTTTGCATATTGAGTCCATATCTCGTACAGGCTTGAAAAGAACACATGGACTCGAGGCTACATTGCTTTTGTGTATTTCAGTCCTTGAACCACTCTTCCCAATTCTGCTAACAAGTCAACTTAGAATTGTTTGCACGGTCTCTGCGATATTGATCAGCTTATGGATAGCAAAAACTAGCAAACCCAGAGCAAAAATGAACAGCCCGTGTAGGTTCAAACATGAACGCTGCTGCAACAGAGATGTGGTTAACCTGCCACATCTGCAGAACCCAAACACTGCACGGTTAACCTAAATAAACTAAACCAACTCTTTCCTATGTCTCTTCTGCTGAAAAAAGCAGCCTGTGGCTGTCGCTGTTTCGAGGATAACAATGCCATCTAGTGGGGGAAAAGGCTCAACATCCTATTTATGTTCTCTTGCAGGTACAGAACAGAACATTTTAGATTAATCTATTGAAATGGTTGCAGGAAAAGTGCACTACAGGAAATAAAATGCCTTCTTATTATGCCATTTTTTAAAAAAGATAAAGTTAACAGATTTTTTTTCAGGAACACTTGAATACTCATTTATATAGCAATATTTTATTACACCTTCTAGACTATTATACCTATATATTTAAAATATAATGTAAATAGATTTTTTTCTTATGGAATATTTTTCAAGAAACACTAAATTTTTCACTGCTTTGCCTTTAAAAAGCTATCTGACTACTGATTACAGAACCAACTGTCCAGATAAAATCAAGTTTCCAAGTTGATTTTGCTTCTGTTGTTTTGTTGACTCCAAGAAAGGCTGGCAGACACTTTGTCTGCTTTTTAAGTACTTTCTTTTAATCCATATGTTACGATCACGCACTGAGAAATCTAAGAAAATATGAAATACAAGTTTATGTATGCATACAGTTACTTGTTAATAAATCAATAAACCCCTTTGAACTCGATTTAAAACATGTGAGTTGACCAGTTTTTCCCTGAGGCAGCAATACCCTGGTTCACCTCAGCAGATCTGTGAAGCTCATTTGGACACTTGACTCTTCCCACACAAGGGCCGATGCATCTTCTCAGATGTATGAATGGCTCTGGGTGTTAGGACACCTTCAAGTTCGTTGTTCCAACATCTACACCCTATGATACTTAGGCTCCATGAAAGCAGTGGGTACCCAGCAACACCTGAAATAAACTCCTGGCAAATACATATATATTTGTCACTCAAGACTTGCTCTTTTAGTTTGACAAACTGTAAGAAGGATGCCCTGGCAGAATTATGACTTCACAACTCACAGCTGTTATTTATGCTCCAGAAAATGTCACCAACATCTGCTACCGTACCTAAACGAAGTACTGCAATGCAATTTTAAGCTCAGATGTAAACAAACAAAAATTGTCTCCAAACAATGGCATAAAAGGCAATAAAGCTGAAATAACCCTGAGTATTTTAAAATCTAAAAGGGTATTAATCAGTTCATTTTTTACAGGATGAGATGCATATGAAAACGGAAAACTTCAGTTGTCCAAATGTCCAAATTTTTATGTGCCTGTCTGAATAAATTCAAGGTTTTTAAGTGTTTGTCTTTTTTGTTTGCTCCTATACCACGTGGGAATTCCTGGTCAATCTCTTAGAAGTAAACCTTACTAGCACAGGCAACAATGAGAACTTTCCCCAAATGTTCAGTTTTATTCACATAACCCAAAGGCGTGGGCTGGTGCCAGAGAAGCCAGGGTCCAGAGGTCAGTGGCCACCAGAATAGCTCTGTTCTCCCTGGAGTCATGCGAACACTGAGTTGCATAGGATGGAGGTGGTGCCAAACGTCATCTTTCAGTAAAGAAGTTCTTCCTCATATCCAATCTAAACTTCCCTTGGCGTAACTAGAGGCCATTTCCTCTTGTCCTACCAAGGAGGCTAAAGGAACGGTTGCAGAAAGGTCGCTTGTAAGTGAGCTGGGCTCGGACAGGTATGAGCATGGTGTGTTTGTGCCTGGCATGGGTAAAAACGTCACAAGACTATGTATAGCTTCTTTAGCCCAGAAAAATCTCTCAGGCAGGGTTTATCAGTAACACTGTTATATTACATATGGATTAATATTTTACAGTATTAGGTTCTTATATATTTCTATGCAAGAAGAGTGAAATAATAAATTCAACAAATAACTCCAAAGATGAGGACAATAACGCCTTGTGATATCAATTTCACAGCTTAACTCAGCATTAGGTTCTAATCGGGATTACAGCTTTTACAGGCCCAGTGCAGGCATCTTAACTCCAGCCACATAAATCCAGAACAACAAAAAATAACGACTTAGAGTGATGAAATACACATGAGATCAAGTTTTCTGTTGCAGGTAACAAGGAAAAGTGCTGTTGACTACACTTGAAAATTGTAATGTTATAAATGCCAGCACCAAACAGCTGCCAGGCATTTTAAAAATGAATTTTATACAGGTATGCCACATTTCATTCAGATGATGCACCATGAATTTGCCAGAGGCGAGATACGCAATCCAGGTAACAGCAGCACAGGGATAGCATTGTGTCCACACACTAAGACAGATGCAAAGTTCAAAGTGCAATTTGCAGATAATCATTTGGGCAAGATTATTTCATACTTGACAAATTTAGCTAACAATTTCAAAAAGGTGCTCATTAAAAAATGCCTGGGGCTGTCACTTGCTGCAAAAAATTGCAGAGATGCTGCCACTGAAATGTTTCCATCTCATTATTAAATTAAATAAAGTGTTTGGACTGGTTCAAGAGTTGAAGAACAGACACAAACTTGCCCTTAGTGTTAGCAAAACTAATTTTTTAAATTTCCTAAATCTGATTACTCCAACATTTTTGATAGCTTTACAACAACTAACTCCATGATTAAGAGGAAGTGACATCTGGGTAACAAAGGTACCAAAAAGTGTTAGCTCATCAGGTATTTATTTTTTAAACCAACACCATCTTGTTCTTTTCTCCAATGATGCAAGTAATTGATTTTTCTCTTACTAGGAAAGGAAATGAGAGAAATGAGATTTACAAATATTTCATTGTCTGCTGCAACTGCAACTGTT